GTGTCTTCTTCTGCGATGACCTTTTCAATGGGCGCCACCTTCATACCTGCGAGGGAATGGTTGGGAGAGTTGAAATGGTTCCCAATAGGTTTATCCAGATGATGGGAGATGTCGAAACGATGGCCGTTAATTCTTTCTCTCAAAGAGTTTTTAGTTTCGCCTACGTATTGTAAATGACATTTGTCGCATGAAATTAGGTAAATGATATTTGTGCTGGTACAAGAAAGCTCACCGTTAATAGGGAATTGTTTACCGTTATGCTTATTAGAGAAAGAATTGGTTGTTAAAATATGCTCGCAGGTTCTACATCTTGTAGATCTGCACGGCCGTGATCCGAAAGATTGATTAGAGTTAGCTAAGGTAATTATTATAGTGTTCACAGCTCATCATGAGCCTTCAAATCAATGTGTGTCTAGAATTATCCTCGTTAGAAAGTTAAAAAAGAATACTCGTCTTTCTTGAGACTCTGACATATATATAGCAAAGACATATATATGAATTTTCATACATTTCTAGTACTGCAGACTATTTACATATATTCAAAACGCATATCAACTCAAAAAAATGGCAAGCTCTCCCTTTAAGATACTTTTAAACCATAATCTAGAAATTTTCTACCCCTTTCTTCATAATGCCAAGCTATTTCGAACGTTTTATAAGACGAAGTTCGTAATAGCTTGACATTGTGAAGTTGACCTACCCCATGTCAAACTGGAAACATAAACGGTATCAAACTTTAATTTCTGCTTCAGAAATTCAGCAGCTAATCTCAAGGTTCCAGTACCTCCCATACATTGAATACTCAAAACCTACAATAGTATCCTGTATTAAAAGAACTAAATATGTACCAGAATGGTAAAAATTCAACCAAATGAATTGACCAATATTATACCCTTATGCTTATGAGTTCGTCCAAGCATCCACTTTTGAGCTTCTGGTACAATAATTTCAAGTCTTAGAGGTTTATACTATCTCATTCATGGTAGGCCTACAGCTTGCCAATCCTGGTTATGTAGATAAAGATAGTATATAACGGGTCCTGATCGGCTTTAGTCCCCGAAGTCCTCACAATTGGTCGAAATCGTCAGTCATATTTTCTTAACCTGTCGTCGTCGAGTTCTTTTCAACTAGTTAAAAACCCTTATGCAAGTAATTGTATAATAAAACATGGTGCTCACTACTTATTTTTAGCTTGGCTTTCTGCAGAAAGTTAAGTTTAAGGGTACAAACGGGAAGGTGCACTTTATTGATTTAGAATCAACAATCAAGCTTTTATCATGCATAGAATATGCAGTATTAGACTAATAGTGCCATTTGCTTCATAAATTAAATGCATATCTTTGGAAGTTCCTTTATGTTGCAAAAGTCAGCCACAATCTACTGGAGTTAGTCATAATTTCATTTGTGATTCGACTTTCGGGTCTAGTCGGCTTCAAGACTTTTTTCTTAATTGAACCATGCATCATACGTTTTGGCCTGTCGTGTAGGCTATGCAGCGTTATTGATCAGTGGTCAGATTCAGATTGGGAGGGCTTCGACTGCTTAAATCCATCAATTTAGTGAAAATGTTGCTGTCTTTCACAAACAATATTGAGATGATAAGGATTTGATCAAAATCTGGGTGTACATTGACATTTGTTCAGTGTATATGCATTTGGGTATGAACTATTATTAGACAAGCCAATAATTGGCCAAATTATTGTCGTCCAATTTCAAAACATGCTATTTACCCGATTTTCAGAAATAGCAGGACTGTTGTCACCAAGTGCTAATCTTGCAGCAGCTTGTCTGAATGGGTGAAGGCCACAAATAGGTAGATACTCATGATTAATGTTTTCGTCAGCTACAACTCTTTTCTCGGCTTCTCTTACTACTGGTAAAACCCATGGTTTTCCATCATCAGTCCTGTAGGCTGAAAACATGCAGAAGACCGAGGTTCACGAAGATGAAGTTAACGCTATCAACAACACTGTAGATTTTCTGTAAAGGGATTGTAAAGAGGTTTTCTAAGTTATTAATGTGTATCGGGGATACTGATAGCATAATTATGGCCTATGTGGTTCAATCGGGAAGGGCCTTATGCATTATATTTGATCAAACACTTTGTCTTTTTTTTGTGTTATTGCAGGAACCGAAATACTTACATAAATATTAGAAAACCTCTTTACAATCTTAACAGTAAAAATGGACTTTGATCATCTTTGACCATCTAAGTTACCCATAAGCACGTATATCGATAACAATCCCTTGTCATATTTCTATTATGGTTTACATATTACTCAGTATATTGCAAAATTGTACTTTTCATTACGCACGTACTTACCTCCAAGGCCAAGGTTGATTTTACACGTCGAATTATCTTCATCAAATTTTCTATTTAAGTCGAACACCTCTATTACAGGTGCAAATCCCAAGTGTACAAACACTGACATAATTATAACGTGTTCAAGGTAAACGGCCCTCGAAATTATATTATCTGTATCAATTGACAAACGAACGTCATAGATATAAATATAACATGTAGTGAAACAGATTCAACGTTATTTTCTAAAATGATTATATAGTCTCTCGTGATATCTTTAAATCATACGTACGTCTTCACTTATATGACCTGGTTTTTCGTCGCGTTAGTTAAATTTAACCACTGAATAGATCTAGCTTACATAGAACAAATTTGTCTTTGTTAAAACCATAATTGTAAGAAATATGGCAAGGAATTGTTATCCATATATGGGTAACTTAGATGATCAAAGTTTAGACCAGAGGGAGAAGGGGGAGAGAGGGGGCAAAATCTGAGTTAACTTTTCTAGAGGCATTTTTCCTCAGGAATCCGAATCTGGGAGGTAAAGTGCCGGGTCAGGGGGCGTTTGAGTTATTCAAGGTCAAAGGCCACGAAAGGTCAAATAACGCAAAAAAACGTTAAAATTTCATTGATATCAACTAGAAATTGACAATAGTTGGGTTCAATTGCAGCCTTATTATTTATCTTTTGATCAGCTTAAATCAAAATTTATGACAACAAATTCAAAGTTTCAAAACATTTTCAGGAGAATGATCCACTAAATCTAGAAATACAAGGCAACTCTCGGTGGTTTTTATAATTTTAAGAAACTAGCATCATTGGCATGATTTATTAGTCTACCTCTCGAATATTTTGAAATTCTACAAATTTTACTTCATTAAAGGGAGAGATGCGCCTTCAATTCCATGTGTGTCCAATTCAATTCTGCGTTTGAATGCCAAAATGATGACTCGTCATTTTAAGATTATACTCTGTGATATGTAGAAAAGACATATATAGATAAAGTGAGTAGTTTCCTAGTTTGAAGTATTTTTGAAGGAAATATGACATTATCGTACATTGCTAGTACTTCTGAAGACTATTTACATATTTTCGATACAAAAATCAACCCTCTAAAATGGCACATCTGTCCCTTTAACCCAAACTGGAGGTATAAATCTAGAAATGCTGAGACACTTTATACTATTACCATAGGATTGGAGATATTTAAACTTTAAACTACAAATAGGGTGTTTTTTAACTGGTCGGATTATATTTATTACGTTGTTCATTTTTAGGGTTGATAAAAACATTCCAGGAACCTAAATTATTGGATCGTCAACATACATTTGTAAGAAGTGTCTGGAAGACCTGGCTAGTTCCAATTTGGCGGGTAGCTGCAACGCCATCAAATGTGTAACAAAATCAGCAAAATTCCTGATGGCGGGGTGAGAAAGTTTTCAACAAATTTTTATCTATCTGCTCCATCAACGATTGGCGGCTGTCTGATTAGCCTATTATATCTCTACCACCCCCAACCCCCCCAAAGGTTTCATGAAAATTTTGGAACTATCTCTGCCATAGAAGTAAATTCAAATCGCACGTCCTAAAATCGAGATATAGCTAGGTTTAGAATTTCTATGAAATATCTAAAACAATAGGGCGAAAATTTGAAAGGGGTGTTCCTCCTGGAGTCATTGAGTTATTGCCCTTGACTGAACATTGAGTTTTGGTTGCTTTTGTAAGTTTATTTGTAAGTTGAGAAATAAATTTCTGCTTTGGATGTTCTTACCTTAGGACAAAATTATTCAAAATCAAGGATGACCTATGGCAATACACGATCGTTAACAGAAAATTCAACAAACTAAACCTTGACCGACATGTTATCAATGTGAAAATAGGTTAAAAAGACCTGAGTAACTGTAAAGGTTGAAGCCTTTGAGGTTAAAGGGGCATTCTGTTGTTTTCGTAGGTCGTTTTTTTTAGTTTTTAAGTTAATCCATACTATTACAGATAATAACATTAGTATAATTATGTCATTATCGCAAGTGGTACGAAAAATGCTGACTTGGCGCAATTATACATTTTTTTAACAATATCCGTCCGTAATTGCTAAAAAATACGGCTCAATTTCTGCTACCAAGATACCATTACTTTTCAGAATTCAAATCTGACGAAGTTCTCTAACGAAAATAGCAGAAAGAAATAGGTTTCCCATTATCGGGGGTTGGTTTGGATCTGGAATATATGAAATTAGTATTCTTTAGCAGGCCTACTACAAATATACGAAAATTCTTTTAAACTAGGTATTTCTCTTTCTATTTCTGTATGTATTTTTATACGCCCACATGAAATGGGGGAGCGCATATTGCCGTTACCCATGTCCGTCCTTCCGTCGGTCGGTCCGTCAACAATTGCTCGTAAACACTCTACAAGACGCAATTCTTGACGGATTTTGACAAAACTTGGCATGAGTGTTTGTTATCGCCCAAGGATAAACCCTATTGAAAATCAAAAGAATCGAAAAATATTTAGTATGAGTTATTGCTCTTGTTCTTGAAAACGCCTTCAATTTTCAGATCGCAAATACAATTCTTGACGGAAACTTGTGAGTGTTCGTAATCACCCAAGGATGAACCCTATTGAAAATCAGAAGACTCGACAAATATTTAGTATGAGTTATTGCCATTGTCCTTGAAAACTCGTTCAATTTATGGCTTGTAAACATTCTAGAAGGTTCAATTCTTGACAGATTTTGACGAAACTTGGCAGAGTGTTTGTAATCAAAAGAAGTGTATGACTGAAGGTTGAATATTTCATACTGGTGATTGTTACTGTACTGCTAAATATTTTTATTCAAAATCAAAGCTGCCAGTGGACGTATATTACTTTGCCTGGCAAGCTATCTTCCATATAAGGCAGAGTCTCAAGAAAAAACGAGTCGTCCTTTTACCTTTCAAACGCGGATAGTTCCAGACAGACATGGATTTGAAGGCTAAAATTTGGACAGTGAGCTGTGAACACCATTGGTGATGAGATGGGCTGAGCTAAGCTAAACAATTCCCGTTCCTGAGACTATGTACGATTGGTCAAACGGATGGTGAATCTGTCCCTTTATAAGTGAAAGTTAATATCCTCTAGGATATGGAAGTCTAAATTGTAGCTGTATGTTTTTGTTGCGTTGTATAAAGAGAACTTGACATAAGATAGTTAATCGTGATATGAACAAATATGAAATGAATGGAGTGTAATGTCCTAATTTTCTTCACCATGTCGACTCCAACTGTTAGGGATCTTTAACGTACACAGCATGTAGCACACGGGGCTTCGGTTTATTGTCACATCTGTATGACTAAACGCTTTTTCCATGTCAGCCCCTCTTACCTGCATCACTGAAAATCCAAAGACATTATCTCGGCCTATGCTTGATTTGGGATTTGAACCCTGGACCTTTGCCACAACAACTTCCGCGATATAGACAATTGAAACTGTTACTGTTCTCATGTTCTCACAGTATTCATTCATGTTGCAAGTAATAACTGTAACCTACTGTTACCAAAAGCTGACCCAGCTTCTGTTGTGAAATGAAGGCAATCACAGTGTGGAATGATTCATAAAAGGAATAAGAATAATATATTCAAATATATTAATTTCACTCAAAATAAACATAAAAATTAATCAGCAAATATAACAGTGAACAGATGTTCAACAACCAACCATTTTTATTTGTAATTAAACTTATTCTTTTAATTAACAGACATTTTGAAAGAGGGTAAACTCCAAGTTCAAAAGGCTTGTATAATTTGAATAAATTAAAAGTGCAACATCACTTCCATGTGAAATAACTTATTTATAGGAATAACAACTAGTTGGATCAACTTTTGCTTGTTTATTGTTCTGGAGTTTTTATTTCTGATCCATTACATCACTGTCTCTCACTTCACTTTAGCATACCATCCATTTCTGGAATCACTTTAAACAAATCAGCAACAAGTCCATAATCAGCTACTTGGAAGATTGGAGCTTCTGGATCTTTATTGATCGCCACAATAACTTTACTGTCCTTCATTCCAGCTAAATGTTGAATAGCTCCAGAAATTCCCACAGCAATGTATAACTCAGGAGCAACAATTTTTCCTGTTTGACCAACTTGCAAATCATTTGGAACATAACCTGCATCAACAGCTGCTCTTGAAGCACCAACTGCTGCATTCATTTTATCAGCAAGATCATACAACATTTTAAAATTTTCCCCATTTTTCATTCCTCTTCCACCAGAAATAACTGTCTTAGCACTAGTTAATTCTGGACGATCACTCTTGGACAATTCTTGTGAAATAAATTTGGAAAGGTCATTACTAATTCCATCAACTGGAGCTTTGTCTGTTGCTGCCGAACCTCCTGTTTCTTCTGCTGGAGGGAAAGCTGTTCCTCTGACTGTCACCAGCTTGATATCATCATTTGACTTCACAGTTTGAACAGCATTTCCAGCATAAATGGTTCTTACAAATGTGTCCTCTGATTCCACACCAATGATATCAGAGATAGGTGATACGTCCATCTTAGCAGCCACTCTGGGTATCAAATTTTTACCAAAAGCTGTAGCACCAGCTAGAATATGTGAGTATTTGAACTGGTTCTGGGTCGCAATTAAAAGTGGTGCAAGGGCTTCAGGTAGGAACCCCTTAAAAGCATCACTATCCGCCAGAAGAACCTTATTAACACCTTTAATCTTGCTGACTTCTTCTGCAACCTTAGCACATTGGCTGCCTGCTACAAGGCAAGATATCTCACCACCCAATTTCGATGCTGCAGACACGGTATTTAAAGTAATAGGGGTGACTTTCTCGTTGTTATGTTCCACGATTACCAAAGTGCTTTTACACCTCTTTAAAAGGGTGCAAAATCTATTCCGTGACAATTTGGAAGCTAACATCTTGATTGTAGTAACGATTTCAGGGTTCTGGATATAACAAGTTGTTGTCAACCTTGAAAAGCTGTAGATAACAACAACTTTCTCGTTACAAAACTCCTTTTACATAAATTCGGAAACCTTTAGACCGGAAGTAAGTATGGGAGTTATCTGTCCTTGATATTGTTGCACTTTTATGTAGTCCGAAAGTCTTTTTGTACTTGGGCTTTAGATGCTCGCCTCCAATTTATGTTCAGTCGGAAACTAGATCTAAAAGAAGATTATTTTAATGAACAAATGAACATGAATGATTTTGACAGTGAAGATATTCAAACTATTCTTATTAAAACATTTACTTTATGATTTAAGATTGCACTTCAACAGAATTCATAAAGTAAGGGAGAGAACTAAAATTTAGTCAAAATCGAAGAATTTCTGATTTCTCAGGTGATGCAGTCAACAAAAGTAGTTTGTTTTATAATTTACACAATAGGCAATTGAAAACAGATCTTTAGAGAAAATAAATATGCTTTGAAATTTTTTAAGCAGGCTAGCCTAGACCAAGACCACAAAGTTATGATAGGCCTACAGATACTACAATGTTACTCTGTTCTGTGGCCCTTGCTTGAATGCGTAGATCATGGCCATGTGTAGTCCGAAACTCACTCACTTTCTAACCCCTGATTCTGATAGATTTTTTCAAGCCACATTTATTGTCTACATTGATAAATGACATGAAAGTACCAGTCTTTTCATTGGTTTAAAGAGTAGGTAGGCCTGCATCACTTTCCTTTGGGCCTATGGAACATAATTATTTGCTGCACCATTATGCACCAGCAGAGGTAGACAAATCTCAGTTAAATTAACTGCACAATTATGAACGAGCTGTAAATAGTCTCATTTAAGTGTGTTGTTAATTGATATGGAAAATTGGAAAACTCACCAAGCTTTGTTATAGAATCACTGTTTTGATTGGGTGGAAATTTAGCATTTGACCAATCAAATCTGGTTTTGTTTGTTTATGCATTTCTGAAGATTTGGCCAACAGTTAACAAAAATTAAAAAATGGCATGCATTTAAATTTCACTTACATGAGATTTTGCAACCTCAGGGATACAATATAGCTGTAGGAGACATATTACTCTACAATTAGGCGTTTATTTTACTCAAATCCGTACAGTAGTTTTCTAACAGCTTGCAAGTTTTGGCTTTAAAAATTAACGGCTTGATTTTTTTAGTTAAAACTTCCAGATACATTATGGTATACATTTCAATAGATTTTGGTTTAGAGTTTTAACAAATTTGAGCCAAAAAAAAAATGTTTGACCTACAAAGTAGCGGAATCTTCCTTTAAATATGTACGATATTCTTCCTGGGGCTTTTAAGGAAAATAGTCAGTGAAACCAACTCACTTTCATTTCAGTATAATAGCTGTTTAAATAGATAATGATACAATAATAAAATATTCTCAATGTTAACATAGTGCTCAATACATCATATGTAGAGCGAAATATTCTGAGTAACAACCTGATTCATGCAGCACCGTTGTTAGGGTGGGGTCTGTGGGGTCTGGGGCCAGCAGGTGAGAATTAAGTCCCAGCAAAACCTCCTGCAGTTCAGCAGAGATTGATTCATTAACAGTGTCTTTCGGCGCCTTAAAATTGTCAGAAATAAGTTCTTTGGGCATTTAGTTCTTCAAATTTCCTGAGTATAAAATCTCAGCCCCAGCACCAATTCATTCCTGGCGACTGGGCTAGATTCATGTTCTGTTTTAATATTTCAAAATAGATAGTGAAATGTTTTTGTTCCTTATCATTTCAAAAATATTTCAGATGGCTAAAGGAGAAGCAGCAGATGAATTATTACCTTTATGGAGGGTAGAAGAGGTGATATCAGAAACTTTAGGTATAGATGTTGGTGTTGCTGATAATGTTATCAATTTATTAGAAGATGGAGCCACCATTCCTTTCATAGCCAGATATAGGAAAGAACAGACCAAAGATCTGGAAGTTGAGAAGTTAAGAGAAATTGACAAATTAGTCAAAGATCTAACGTAAGTGAAGAAAAGAATAGAAGATAACTGTGTACGAGCGTGCGCCGTGTTTTGACCAATCATACTTTAGTCTCAGAAACAGGAATATTTTGGCTAAGTCAATAGGTAATAGTGTTCACAGCTCACCATCGAAATATGAGGCTTCAAATTCATGTGTGTCCAGAATTATCTGCGTTTGAAAGACATTTATGCTCCTGTGGAACAGCACTACTCTCTGATTACAATGTTTTCTGAATTGAATTTTGACAATCATTTTCATATGAATTGAAATATCAATTACAAAATACTACTGAGAGTTTTCGATTGTCTTTTGGTCGAAGAAAATGTTAAACATTGAAAAAAAAAAAATATTAATTGTGAAAATGATTTTACAGAGGGGAATTTCAGACTGAAAAGTAGGCTATTTTCATGTGAACTGTCTTGGAGGAAAGTGACTGTTTATTTCTAATGTAAAATCACTGAACCTTATATTTCTATAGACCCAAAAACATTCTAACACAAATGGTATATGATTGAAATTTTATTTTGAATATTTTTGAAATGAGAGAAAAAATTCAATTCAGAGCTCAATGTAGTCAGACAGTCGGATCCCAACTCCCAAGGGTTAAAGCAGTGGTTCCCAACCTCGCTGTCACACCCCTGGACCTTTCACACCCCCAAAAATTTGTTTCATCCACATTTGCAGCATGTGATGATGTGAGCTGCTCTCTGCATTCAACATAAATTCCTCTCCTTCACCAGTTGGCCACACCCCTGACACCTTAGTCCCACACCCCAGGTTGGGAACAGGGGGGGTTAAAGGGATACTGTTCTGCTTTGTGAGGAGTCAGCTGCTGAAAGTTTAAGATGTAAATGGTTATTAGCTGCACCAATTGTAGCAAGAATGTCAGAAAATCAAGATAAGATAGCTTTTCTTATAATTCATAATGAACATTTTGTATATTTACCTTCAGTGTAGTTAGAGGAAAGATAAACACTGTTCATGGATCAATCAGTAAATTAGGGAAGATGACAAGTGGATTGGCTGAGTCGCTACAAAATGCACAAAGTTTGGATGAAATTGAAATTTTGGTTGGTACTTTACCTTGTTTTATTATTTCGTAAATTTTATGTTTTGAATTATTTACTGTAGAAAATATGAAAATTAGCTACATATTTATTCAAAGATGGGTTTCCTTATTTTTTTAGTGTCAAATTAAGCAAATTAATTGGTGTTTCTAATGAATTATCATGTATTCTGAATCATATCATTATGTTCTTATTGCATACAATTAAGATCAATCATAAATGTACATGTATGTACTTTTGACCTTTCTTGATCGGTCACTCATTGGAATTCTGCTGGTAATTCTCTTCTAATTTAGCTTATTATGAATTATTTATGGACATCTGAAACAAACCGGTATTTTTCTAAGTCATTTTTCTAAGTCATTAGAACCCCCCTACTTTCTATTCATATAAGAATTAGCATTTTCGTCTTCATAAATGAAAAGAAGGGAACCCATCTTTAATGAGCATGATTTAGAATGAAGTTTCAAGTAAAACGTTTTTGAACTTGATGGATTTAGTGATTATCAGATTGTTTGCTATGCTGCAAAATAAGTAGGATTTATAACTGCCAATGCATTAAAGGTTGCCTGTATACTTTTAATACATTTATGTCGATTGGACTTCCTACTGCTAATTTGCATTATAACGAATGCTTCAGTTTTAAATAAAGAGGGCTTGTTAACATCATCTCAAAAACAGATGTTTTGATGAAGAAAAATCATGCACAATTTTGAAATGAATAGGATAATCACAGTCAAATTAAATTTAGACCCATCTTTTGTTCTTTGTTTTTTTATTAGCTTTTATTTTTATATAGCCACTTCAGTTAGGGTCTAACGGCAGCCCTTTTGAAAGCTAATAAAGAAGTAAATAAAAAAGTTTGGTTTAATAGTCATTAGACTGGGATAATCTTAATAGAAGATTCAACAGGTTAAGGCCTGAGTTTGTTTTAGTTTTGTGTTAGCTTACTAATTTACTTTATTTTTCAGTATGCCCCTTTCAAGCCAGGACATAAGGGAACATTGGCTGAGCGTGCTAAAAAATTAGGTCTTGAACCCACAGCATTAATGATTTTAGATGGAAAACAGTTCAATCTACAGAAACTAGTCAATAAACAGGAAAAGGGTAGGGATTGTCTTTTCATTTTAGCTGACTCTTTGCCATCTTACAATGGTCAAGGTATTATGCACAGTTCATTTGTCTTATACCTAGACTACAATAGCCACTGTTCTTGTATCACAGAAGTGATCTGATTGGATTGTATGCTAGTTGATACAACCAATCAAAGCCCTCATCAGAAATACTATAAATAATGTTTACAGCCTCTCCCGGCATAGGTCGCGATGATTCCTTCTGATTTTTCAACCCGGTTTCCCTCTGTCAATGATGCAGGTAAGAGGGGCTGACATGGAAAAAGTGTCGTTCGGATGGGACAATACATAGAGGCCCCATGTGCTACAGACTGGAAATCGAAAAAGAGCTGCCTGGCAAAATTGTCCCTTACATGGCGTTGCCCGTCTTCATTAGACTACCTGGTGCAGAAAAGTAGGATTTCATTTTCATTTTTTCGATAAAAGACTACCTTCGATTGATGAAGAAAAATACAGTCATGTGTGGCAATCTGTATAAATTAAGAACAGCCTAACTTACATGTTTGTAATTGAAAAAGAGGCTATTTGTGATTTTTGAAAAGGAGATAAGGGGAAATTGATGTGTTTTTCTTCTTGATTTTAGAGCTAAATACCATAGATAATGTAGAGAAAGGTATAATACATATCATAGCTGATATTATATCTAAAGATAAGAAATCTTTTGATCAACTCAGAAAAATGTAAGTAGGCCTTCCTAAAACTTTTTGAATATTAAAATAGAACCTGAAACATGTTGTCACTCATACATAGTTTAGCCTGCGTCCCTATACTCATACATCAATTGCAGAGCGATATTATAGAAATACAGAAACAGAACCTGAAACATGTTCATACACATGGTTTCACGCTGTGAGATCATTTGACAATTGAAATGTATCCCTATATACATACAGTATACCTTCAATAAAATAATTAAACTAGCAAATTGCTGACTTTCTCTCCTAAGAGACCACCTTCATTAAGAGACTGCTTTTGACTCTTCCCTTGAGTGGTCTCTTAATGCAGGTTTTACTGTACATCCATTGCAGAACGATATCATAGAGATATTAAAACAGAAAATTGAGTTGAAAGTTCAATAATATGACTGAAACTGAAAAATTGAATTTCAATGGTTGTCTTAGTCAGATAAATCCTCATATTAATATTCCTATCTTATATTTATCTATGATCTAGGATTCTATCTGAACTCTTGTTATTTTGAAGCTGTCCTGTATATGAATATAACATAATATTCTGTCCCAGAAATCTCGATTTAAAAAAAAATATATATCAAAGCAAAAAACTGTTACAATGCATCTGCACTATGGGAATATTTGACCCAATCTGGAAAATGGATCAAGATTTTAAAAAGCCATATCATGCAAAATTGTTCAGTTTTCAGATTGCTTAATTTTATTACCAAAATAACCTTTACATATTTATTGAGATATACTTAATGCATCATTTCATTAACAAATTTTCAAAATTTTTTCCCTCCCAAACAAAAATTCTGCAGGCGCCCTAGAGTCTAGGGCCTAGACTGTTATATTTTGTATTTAACTTGTTTCAGTTGTAATAGTAGTAATGTTATGCTACATTCTAAGGAAACTAAACAATCAACTGGTAAGAAGAATGATGGTAAGAAATCTGATGAAAAAAAAGTGAAAGTAGAAAAAGGAGTTATGAAGAAAGAAGATAGTTATAAATTTGAACAATATTTTGATTATAAAATACCAGTTAGATATATCAAACCACATCAAGTAAGAATTGTCAAAATATATAGCAACATTTTTTTCAATGAATTGATGAATATCAACTTGGTGTGAATTAATGAGGTCTCGGTCATGTTTGAATTATCAAATATCAGATTGGAGGTTTTTTTTATCCATTAATATTGACAAAATTGTTATTTTTTTAGTAGCCAAATTGCTTTTGATATATTAATAATCTTTCAAAAAATAAGATTTTTGTTACTTCATGTATTTGTTTTATTTACTTGAATCGATATTAAGCTGTATAAAACTTTTCCAACAGCAGTCAGTTGGTGTAGATTACCTGGCCTGGCAAGCTATTCTTGTTGTTATTTTGTGATATAATTTCAGATATTAGCTATAAATAGAGGTGAAAGTAAGAAATTCCTAACAGTGAAAATAGAAATACCAGATAATATTAAATATAGTTTTATTAGATATTGTCAGAATATTTGGTCTAGACATATTAATAATAAAGACTGTAGAGATATTATAGAGAAAAGTATCAATGATGCTTATGATAGATTGATATTACCTCATGCTTGTAGAAATATCAGGTAATTTATTATTTCATCACTTTTTATACTCCCAATTGGGAATGTGGACATATATTGCCGTCGCCCCTGTCCGTCGGTCCTTCGGTCCGTCCGTTCACATTTCTTGTATAGAGGCTACAGTTTTTATCTGATCTGGATGAAACTTGGTATGCATGTATGTATTGATGAGATCTTGGTCAAGATGACTGGTTTTGGAGTTATTGCCCTTGATTTAGTAAAAACGTGTCAAATTTTGCTTGTAGGCTCAATAGACTACAGTTTTTATCTGATCTTGATGAAACTTTATATGCATGTTGATAGGATCTCAGCCAAGTTCAAAATTGGTAATAATTGAATGAATGGTTTTCTAGTTATTGCCCTTGACCTAGAAAAAACGCGTCAGATTTGCCTTGTAGGCGCCATAGAAGCTACAGTAATCGGAGTTATTGCCCTTGTGTGTACAGCAATGAGACATTGTTCATGTTTGAATAATGTTTGAATTTGATGAACTGTTTCAGGTTTTTTGCCTTGACTTATAGAAAACTTTAAGATTATTTGAAAATTTACTATTAAGCCACTAAAGATTTTGTTATTATTCTGACAGCTGGTATTGTGCATATGTTACTTTGCCTGGCAAGCTATCTTTTCATACTGTGCAATATCGAGTACTATTTCTACAATGAAAATATTTTGATACGCCTACATGACATGGGGGGCGTATATTGCCATCAACGACGTCCGTCCGTTCACCCACAATTGCTTGTAAACACTCAATAAGACGCAATTCTTGACGGATTTTGACAAAACTTGGTTTGAGTGCTCGTAATCACCCAAGGATAAACCCTATTGAAAACCAGAAGAATCGAAAAATATTTATTATTAGTTATTGCCCGGGTTCTTAAAAACACATTCAAGTTTAGGTCTGTTAACACTCTGGAAAGCTCAATTCTTGTGATTGTTACTTTACTGCCAATATTTTTATTTAAAATCAAAGCTGCCAGTGGGTGTATATTACCTTGCCTGGCAATCTATCTTTTATTGTAGTAATGAATTTATACTTTTACATAAAATATCTGCATTAGAATTTTCATCATGACAATGGCCAAATTTGTCATCATGTTTGGTATCTACGAAACTGAAACAGTTGGAGTCTAAGGATAAGTTATAGACACAAGTATAGTTCTGAATTTGGCAGAAAATTTTCTCCAAAAATATACAATTTGATTTGATTCGCAGATCATCGTGATCAATTTTGACTTATCATAAAAAGTATTGGATTGCAAAAACGCTTCATTTTGATAGCACTTAAATTTAACCCTGATATACTTGAACATTCAATTTCTTTCTGAATGTAAAGTAGATAAAATATTTTGATAATCAGGTAGATTATGATCACAATTTTTGATAAAAATATCTTTAATTTCTCTTCAGATCAGATTTATCAAAGAAAGCCGAAGAAGCGTCTATTAAAGTTTTTGCAGATAATTTAAAAAGTTTATTATTACAACCACCTATAAAGGGAAAAGTTGTGTTGGGTGTAGATCCAGGATTTAAAAATGGTTGTAAATCAGCTGTTATATCTCCTACTGGTATGTTCTTCTAACTACAGCATTGAAGGCGTTTTTGTGGGCTGATTCGATTTGATAGATTAGCTATTTTGTGCATTTGTGAGCCAGGAAGTTTAGTTTATCAATACATTTGTGAGAAAGTTTACCTATAATAATAATAATCAAAATAGATGACTTCTTTTTTTTCAGCGGTGGCAGCCATATTGCCTAATCGCCAATATCAAATTTCGCATTTGTAGACCACTGCTTATCTTATCGTACTAGCAAATTAAAACCAAATCAAATCAGCCGGCAAAAACGCCTCGAGCTAGTTCATTTGATATCAAGGTATGACTTTTCAGTCATTATGAATCTTCTAAAAGTCAGCCCAGTGTTGGTCTTTCACCTCTTATCACCTATACCTAGAAGTGAATGGCTATATGAATATCTTCTTGAATACACTTTGAACTGTGTAAACGTCAACATTTCGCTCTAATGCTGGGTTGAAATACTGTCTTTTAATAATTAAGAAATAACTCAGATGGTAGCAAGTTGGATTGTCATCTGCTAGGTGATTAGATGCCATTAGGTCAAATCATCCCCATAGCAAGAAAGCGTAGGCTTTCATCCTCTCATGTACTTAGTACTAGGATATATCGTTATAGTCATGTGATTATTTGTTTAATTCAATTTAAAGATGGGTTCCCTTATTTTCATTCATAAAACTGAAATTGCTAATACTTACATGAATATAAAGTAGATGTGTTCTAATGATTTGGAAAAATACCAGTTTGTCTCACATGTCCATAATTAATTCAAGAAAGGTCAAAAAACTTTTTTTTTTGTTTATCCAGACTGTTGTACATAAAATACATGATCATTTTTTTGAAACCAATTAATCAAATAAGGATCAAATTCAAATAAGGAAACCCAACTTTAAGCTATTTTTATAGTTTCTGCCTTTTCAGAAACAGTAACATTTATTTATTAGGTCAAGTTTTAGATACAATGGTGTTTTATTTACATGATTTTAAATCTAAAAAATTTGTAGAGGAGGTGGTTTCAAAATACAAGTAAGTAGTTTTTTTTATTGAACAGTATCTATGTATAGTTTTAAGTGATAGTGTCGTCTTTTTCCATTGAGCATAGGTTGAGATAATACCTTTAGATTTTTTAACCTGGTTTCCCCCTGTCAGTGATGCAGGTAGAGGACCTGACATGGAAAAAGCGTCTAGTCGGGACAATAAACCAAGGCCTTTTGTGCTTCAGTCTGTGCACGTTAAAGATCTCTGGATAATTGGAAATTGAAAAAGAGCAGGCTAATGTCAAAATTTCCCTCACTGCACCCATCTTTATTAACCCACAAGGTGCAGAAAACTCTATTCATCTCATTTTCGTTTTTATACTTGAGACAGCAGTATAGAAAGGAGGTTATTTGCCTTTAATATCAAGCTTGTGAGATCGTGGTGGATATCAGATCATACCCAAGAGAATTTACTAGGTTCCATACCTTTCATGCAAGAATTAAGTTTTTTTTTTTACCTGTGTTGGCTGAATCAATTACATTTTTTTCCCAAAAAAATTTCAATAAGCAAAAGGGTTTATTTACAATTTATGCAATGAAGCACGGTTTACAGTAATTATTAACAATTATGAAGAAATTAACCTGTGAAACTGTTTTTATTTAGATGTGAAGTGATAGCTATTGGAAATGGTACAGCTTGTCGTGAGACTGAAAAATTCATCAGTACCTTAATACAAACTAAAGTATTCAGACCATTAGATGTTTATTATACGTAAGTTTTAACATTAAAATACATAGATAGACAATTGCATTGAAGATGTTGAATTTAATTTAGGCCATTTTGACATAATGAAATTAACAATTCAGCCTAAATATAAATAATTTGATATTAATGCTGTTAAAATGGTGAGTTTCAAAGTTAAAAACAGGAATTCAATTCTTTTTTCATAATGAAAGTGAAAGTAAAGTCTAATGGATGTTATTATAAACATTGTGTATGGTGGGCTTCAAATACACATTATCAGGAGTAAATAGACCAAATTATCATCTTAATTGGGGGATTAATTAATCAGGCAATGATAATATTATTACTTGATGATGTTAATGCATTAATGCATGTTATCAGTTATCAATATGCAGGCTTTGATTGATTTATGGTGGAGAATTTGAAAATTTGGTTATTGGTAGAATCAGACGGTCGGTGGACACCATGCAAAAGCTGTTGAAACCATCGATAGAATGCACATGTATTCAATTGTAATGAATCTCTTCTTCCAGCATTGAATACTATAAAATAGTGTTTGTTTCTTTTATGAAATACAGAAAAGTAGGACGTAAAACTCCATTCATTTCATTTTTATATACGCCCACGTGAAATATATTGTTGTCACTCATGTCTGTCTGTCCGTCCATTAGTTTGAGTTATTGCCCTTGTTCCTAAAAATGCGTTCAAGTTTTAGCCTGAAATTACTCTAGAAGGCCCAATCTTGGTAATATTTCAGGCCAAATACTTTTATTCAAAATCAAAGCTGCCAGTGGGCGTATAATACCTTGTCTGACAAGCTATCTTATTCAATAAATTTTGGTTTATTGGCAGTATTATTGAGAGTATTCTTTGTTTTTTGAACCATTGAATAAGTATAAACTAGGTTATAAGCTGTTGAAATTATATTTATTACAGTATTGTAGATGAGAGTGGTGCTTCAATATATAGCTGTTCTAAAGTGGCTGAAAAAGAATTTCCTAAACTTGATCCAACACTTCGTGGAGCAGGTACATTATATACTCTATTGCAAAATATCAACATTATAATTGAATATAGATATATCAAATAGTATAGCATTGAGTGGACCCTAAAGAAAATGAAAAAAGGAAATTTTCAGTCAGTGGTGTTGCCGGCCTTCAGAGACTGTGGGTACAAATAGGGGCCAGGCTGACTCAATGTGGGGGACTGCTGAGGCTGAATTCAAATTTTGGCTACTCTGTGGTGGTGTCATAGACACAAGCCTCTCATAGAGTGTCATAGAGGGTTCTCTCAAGAAAAGTTTAGAAAAAATGAATTTATTTTGTGCATTCTGACCAATATTTTGGAGAAAAAAGGTAGACATTTAGATTTGTTGAAAATAAAGTGGGGGTACAATTGGGGGTGCAAACCACTATTCTAGGGGGGCAAATGCGCAACCACTGAATTCAGTGTTACACAGAGGTTTTTGTAAATTTTTTATGTGTATCCGAGACACTGATAGCATCAATTTGCACCATGCAAATTTTTAACAAGTTGTCTGTTGTTCCTACAATCCACTTAAAGTAAGTCTATGATGACGTCACTAATCGCCACAAAGGGCCTTGTGTGATGAAGTATATTTTGCGATTAGAACTCCCTTTACAATCCCTTTAATTTGTAGAAATATTGGGTTTCAACATAATATGCAGTCTTTATTCCATCAAGTGTATGGCTGATGAAGTTCATTTTAAGTGTTTTTTTTTTAAATTCTTGGTCAGGTTATCCTACTTTTATTTGTAGTGTCAATATCAAGAAGATTACAAGATCCATTAGCTGAATTAGTCAAAATAGAACCTAAACATATTGGTGTGGGAATGTACCAGGTAGGTGTTTGTATTAAATATTGAGATATATTAGCCCCACTCCTGTTCAGTGACATCTATTATAAGATTGTACGAACATCAGGCCGGTACTACAACAAAGTATGTTTTTGACACTATCAATGTAGTACTACAACAAATTAAGTGCTTGACACTATCAATGGAGTACTACAACAAAGTATGTGTTTGACACTATCAATGTAGTATTACAACAAAGTAAGTGTTTGACACTATCAATGTAGTACTACAACAAAGTAAGTATTTAACACTATCAATGTAGTACTACAACAAAGTAAGTGTTTGACTCTATCAATGTAGTACTACAGCAAAGTATGTGTTGGACACTATCAATGTAGTGCTACAGCAAAGTATGTGTTTGACACTATCAATATAGTACTACAACAAAGTAAGTGCTTGACACTACCAATGGAGTGCTACAACAAAGTATGTGTTTGACACTATCAATGTAGTATTACAACAAAGTAAGTGTTTGACACTATCAATGTAGTACTACAACAAAGTAAGTATTTAACACTATCAATGTAGTACAACAACAAAGTATGTGTTTGACACTATCAATGTAGTACTACAGCAAAGTATGTGTTTGACACTATCAATGTAGTACAACAACAAAGTATGTGTTTGACACTATTAATGTAGTACTACAACAAAGTATCTGTTTGACACTATCAATGTAGTACTTCAACTGAGTAAGCGTTTGACACCAACAACGATAGTGATAGTATTATGTGTTACTGTAGTACTACAACAAAGTAAGCGTTTGTATTATGTAGTATTAAGTGGAAATTGTCATAGAAAATAAATAACTGGAAATTGTCATAAAAATGTAAAATTATCATAGAAATTGTTATAGAAAATGTAATATATAACTGGAAATTGTCATAGAAAATATAATATATAACAGAAACTTGTCATAGAAAATATAATT